TCCCTCCCTTCCATTCTTCTTTCCTTGTCTTGTTTTTTTCCCCTTCCTTTCTGCACCGTCCCCTTCAATTCTGAATGTTAACCAATCCTAACTGTCAGGATCCTAACTGTCAGGACCGTTTCCTTCCACCTTACTTCTCCTCCCTGTTCATCCTCGCCTGTCCTTTCCCCTTCCTGCCAATCCTTCTGCTGCTGAACTTTTAAAAACAGTCTCTAACTGAAGAGAGATGGAAGCCAGCCCTGCCAAAGGACGGAGATCCATAATATGGATGCCAGTGAACTTGTCGTGAACCATGACATCCCCAGTGACTAAGGAATCAAGGAGAAAACTGCGGTACCAGAAGTACAGTACAACACAGACAGACTGACTCGGTGCGGTATTAGGTTCCACGGAGCAGCCCCTAATTAGACACCTCAGCGAGCCGCATCGGCTGCTCCTCTTTGCTTTCACGTCTAGATCAGTTACAGCCATTTGATTCCTTAATTCTTTTTTCAAGTCTTCCAGGTATCGGTTAGTTTAGCTACTATGTAACTTTTTCAGGGAATAGTTTAAGCTTTATCCATTCATGCAATACTAAGGAGAGGTGAGCGTACTGCAACTTTGTGCTGGCTTCGAACAATTCTGAACACTCACGAAGGACAAGTGACTCCTGAAGGAAGATTTTTTAAAAAAATGTTCTGTTTCTTCTTACAAATGGAGATTTTTTTGTACCAGCTTTACCGATTTTCAGCCATTTATTAATATGGGAATTTAACTTACTGAAGCAATACCTGAAGGGAGGTGCATATTACCACGGATGCAATTTATGTCGTGTGCCAGTCTGGTCCCAAACACCAATTTCCTAACATGAGCTCCAGTTTGCCTAAATGTTCACTGACACCAAGGATTAGATTACACTTCCCGTGACTCCGAGTGGTCACATTCATGAGCAATGCACGTGAGATTCCTATCCATAGAATTAGTCCCGGTGTGCCTCCCTACCTGGGAGGGACAGTTTCCATGGGATTTCTAGCTGTCCCCCTCCCCCCCCACCCCCGTGGTTAGGAATGAGATGTCACCTGTTTGCAGAGTTACAGACTTTGTCTCAGAAGGAGCTGTGAGCCAGAATTCATTTCAGAGGCAATAAGGCTAATGCCAGAATTCAAGCCAACCAGTCATCAAAGACAGCAGACACCTGACCAAATTCTAAAACCTAATCTGTAGGCATTGATTCACTTAAGAACATTTGTTTAAATTAATCTGCAGAATATTTTTTTTAACCAAGAGGTAAGCCAATAGATGTGCTTTACAACCAGTATGGTCACAGCATGAAAGTCAGTCAGGTTCCAGACTGTAACCAGGTGTAATCTAAAGAAGAAACCAATTAGATGTCCCCGAAACCTACAGTCGCTGAATAGCCAACCAGTAAACAGTAACCTCCATCCAATGCTTTATCAATGGACCAGTGTTAGTAACTGCTCCCTGTATTCTGTGAACACCCTTGTTCTATGTACACAGATGTAATTAAAGTTGTACTCCTAACAAAAAAAAAGAGAAGTAGTTCAGCTCCAGTGTTACATGTTTGCTGTGCTTTTCCGAATTTTATGTTGCATTCAAAGACTGTCTTGTTCTTGTGGTGTTTGGATTCTTGTGGCGTGTGCTTTTAGACACAGGGTAGAATTAGAGACAATATTGGATGTACAATTCCTCAGGAGACTGCAGTAGTATACTCTATTCCTTACCAGTAATAAGGTACTTCCTAATAATACTAAGAGATTGAAACTCCAAACAAGTATTCATTATGACCAGATACACATCAAAATCATAATAATATTTTCAAAACAAGGGATAATTTCTCTAATGGTTTATTATAGAATACCAATGTATAGCTTAGACATAAAACTTTGAATATTCAAGAATATAGATAAGTCTAATTTTTAAACGCTGTATATATGGCTCTAACCCTATCATCTCTCAGATGTTGTTATTAACTCGCTCTGTGTTGTTGCAAAACTTTTTGGTGCGGACTTGTTTCCAAAATTATTGCTACTTTGTGTGCTTTAAACAAAATACCTTGGGTTGAGGAAGCCTCAGCCCAGTGCTAGGAATACTGTGTATCTACCCTTAGCTATATGGGAATATATTGTAGATTGTGGTTCTCAGTAGAGAAAGTGACTGTAGTGTGACTCTAGATAAATCATCGTTAGCAATTCATTCGGATGGTCAATAACTGGAAATTTATAGCTGTGATAGGAGTTCAGAAATTGGCACATCCCTTAAAAAATAACAACAGAAAATACAACTCCTGGGAAATAAAAAAGGTGCTGATTCTATAAGATTACTTCTACATGTAAGTGTTTAAAAAGATTATTTTCCAGAAAGTTTATGCAGGGTTTAAGTTGCTACTGTCCAATTACACTATCTATAAATAAAATATAGACAATAAACTCAGTGTTTCCATCGTATCACATCGAAGTACTTGGGCTTCAAAGCCAGAGCCTGTAAATGATCATGTGAGATGGAGACAGGATGATGTACGAATGAAGTTGGATGTGTAGTTCTCAGTTTAAGTGATTCTCGGCATTTCAGAGGAGCAAGCATCTCACAACCAAGAATCAACAAGTTAAGACATAATCTAAAAGAACTGCACAGGCTTTAGGGCAAATATCTCAGCCTCACTTGAAGGGAGGTGTTTTTTTTTTTTTTTTTCCAAGTTTCGAGCAAGACCATTTTCTTAATGTGAAGGCGTCCGGAAGTTATCAAAGTGTATGTTTTAGCCGTGCAATCGCCGTTTTGTTTTTCTTCTTTGAGGTTTCTTCTTATTTAAAGCAATATGATTGTGTTGACTCTTGCAGTGACACTCGTGTTTCAATCAGATCAGATTGTTGTATTTATTCCACTATTTTGCATTTAAATGATAACATAAAAGATATAAAAAATTTAAAACTGCTATTTTTCTTATAGAAGAGAAAATGGGTGTTGGTGATTGTATTTTAATTATTTAAGCGTCTCTGTTTACCTGCCTAGCAAAACATTTTATGGCAGTCTTATGTGCAAAGATCGTAAACGGACAAAAAAAATTAAACTGCTTACAGTGGTCCAGGAGTTGCATTATAGCCAGTAGTAAAAATAATAATGATAATAATCATAATAATCATAATGAAACCATGTCTATAGCTGTAGATGGGCCTCACATCTGTAAAGGAATCAATTGTATATTTTTGTGATGTGTACCATACCGTGTGCTCCAGCAAATGTCCATTTGTGTAAATGTATTTATTTTATATTGTATATATTGTTAAATGCAAAAAGGAGCTATGATTCTGTAACTCCAATCAGTTCAGATGTGTAACGCAAATTATTACGCCTTTCAGGATGATGTAGAGCAATATTAAACAGGCTTCCACTTTCACTGCTCGTTTGTATGGCGTTTCCTTCTTTCCTTCTCACTAAAGAACCAAACGGATCAACACTGCCCTTTGTTGCCTCCATTCAAAGAGTAGCTCTGAGTACCGGTTCCCTAAAAATAAAGTAGGACTTTAGCTAAGAGCTATATAAAGGCTTGTCAGAATGAATTCTAGGGTGCCAAGAGACATTTTGCATATTTAAGAGTATGCAAAGTGTCTCATGGCACTTTAGAATTCATTCTGACAGGCCTTTATATAGCTCCTATTTAATCTTAAACATCTCCACATCATCTTGTGCAGCTCAGAATCATCACCCCTGTGTCAATGTCATAACAGAAAACTTTCCCCTATTTTAAGATCGTTTTAAAACCTGCTAGAGATACCTATTATTTCCCTCTATCGACAATTAAATCACACTCCCATGCAGGCACGGGCAGAGCTCAGCAAGCTGCAGGCTGGGGCTATGTCAGAGAGAGGCAGTGGAACTACTGACCGGTGTTCCTGAATGGGAAGTCGGTGGCCGCGCTCCCTGGTCCATGAAATGGGGACAAGTCTCTTGGAATTCAGGAGGGTTAGACAGCAGCATGCTGACAGAAATGGCCTTTTACAGTTTTGCTGCTCAGGGTCAACTTTGAGCTTCTCCTGGACCCTCCTGAAGCCATCACCCAAGTGCTAATATGTGCCTTGCTTTTCCAGGCTGTCTTCCCTCTGCCTGTCCTGAGAGAATTTTATCAGTGTGTCTGCCCAGCTTTCAGAGTTCTTTCTCCAGAGATGCCTGCTGGTGACATAAAGGCCATGAAACAGAATCAGTTTTTAGGAGCACAAAGTTTCCTAGCTAGCAAGAAAGCTCACTGACTTCTTTTCCTATTTTAATGTCTTTTGAGTGGTAACAGGCCAACAGTATCTCCCAGATTTCACGTGGAGCTGTAAGAAGCACTATCCTGATTCTTCAGGTGAGGTCCTCCTCTCAAAACACATGTGAGATATATACATACACTTTAAAACCTGCATATTATCATTCTCTTGCTTTTTCATAATCTAGAACGATGAAACAACTTTTCTGATTCAGAAATTTATCGTGGATACATCAAGATATAAGAAAATAACAGTAGGATTTTGACCATTTCAGATGCTTTTCAGTCTACAAACAAGGCAGATATGTTTATTGATTGCATAGCTTACATATTTTTCAGGACTCCTTTTATTTTTAATGGTTCTCTATAAACAATTATATTTTCCAGATGTCAATATCTTAGGAGTGTACATCCCTTCATAGAGCCTTTTAATGGACAGTCCCTCACCTTTAAGAAAATAGTTTAGCCATTAGCCAAATGCTGCATTCAAAATGCTTAAGGCTCCAGGCATAGTGGCGCAGGCCTTTAATCCCAACACTTGGGAGGCAGAGGCAGGTGGATCTCTGTGTGTTTGAGGCCAGCCTGGTCTATATAGTGAGTTCCAGGCCAGCTGGGGCTACAGGGAGACCCTGTCTCAAAACGACCAAAA